TTCTGCGTTTGATATTGGTTGGACGGAGAAGTGATTTCTTTCTCGCAGTTCTGCCATAGTAGCCCAGCTTGTGAAGATACCTGACAGTTGTTCTGGGACTGACATCAACTTGTGTTGCTATGTCAGAGACCTTGCAACGTGGATCCTGTTCAACATTTCTTTCGACAAGACGCATGGTTCTTTCAGAGAGCCCAGGGCGGCCTGGATGAAGTTTTGTGCACTTCTTGCCCTCTCTGATGAATTGTACGATCACTCTACTAACGGTAGAAAGGGGTATTGAAAGATTTTCAGATATTTTTCTTTGACTAAGACCACTAACCCTTCTGTTTCGATCTGGTTTTGTGATCAAAGAGATCGTGTTAGTTTCTCTAGGGCTGCTCGAGAAAGTCATCAAAGACCTTATCTTCGACAACAACCAGTTGACAATAATGCACTTCGCAATTAAATCCCTGTTGCCCGAAATGTCAGCGTCCGTGTACTTCTAGATAATGCCTAACGAGAGAGATGTGCATGTCGAGGATACGAACGTCCCAAATTATCCACCACTGCCACCATCCTCGCTCATATGTATATGTATCTGCAACAAACATTGCAAAACCCTAGCAGGCTTCACAACCGGTGAATTCTCACTTGAAAAAAAGAAAATAAAGAAAATGTCAACAATAGTCATACTCGTCTGTCGAGGTGACAGCCATCATATATATATATATATATATATATATATATATATATATATACAAATGTATAGGTATAATTTAAATACAAATATCGACCTCTGATATCAAGGAGGAAGCTTATACTTAGGTAGGTAAAATTTTTGACAGATCTAATGGGAGGAGTGCTGGAGAATCTGATACTCACGGGTCGAACAAAGGGAAAAAGAGACAAGGCTGAATCAACCTACATATGCGATTCACAATTCGATCCGTGCTGCATTTGGTAATTTGACATTGCAATTTTTATATCCAACAAGAATACGTTGTTCGTATCGTTTATATTCAATCGTGTACAGTTTCTCTGCAAGGGTTGTTCAACTGACAGTTAACAACCATCTTCAATCCATTTTCGAGTTGTCTTCTTCCTTTGGTATAATTACCGTGCTTAATAACGGTAAAGAGCAAAGATATCGAATGAAATTCATAGATATCGACAGGCAGAGACAGTGTTCACATAGAATAAAAAACTGCTTGATGACTGGCATTTTCACGTCTTAATGGGATTTTCAAATTTATTCGTAGGTCCACATGGTCGAAATATATAAACACGCCCTCTTTGATATTGACAAGTCTAACCTTGTAATTATAGCAAATTTTAATATATATATATATATATATATATATATATATATATATATATATATATATATATATATATATATATTAACCTGTCCTGAAAGTACAAAATAAAATTCTGGTATTTAATATTTATTTGACTAAATATGAACCATTTTGTTACATAACGTTTCTCCATTTTTCCTTCAACTTACATATTCCATCTTAGAATTTCAGTGGTTTCTCGGCAAAGAACCCATTAAGGTAGTTTATGTCATCCAAGAATTAAATTTTTTACCATTGAAATTATTTTGCAGGTACCTAAATAAATGAACATCCGAAGGAGTAATGTCTGGTGAATATAGCGGGTGAGGTAGAACATCACAGCCAAGTTGCAGCAATTTTTCTCGGGTCGCCAAAGAAACGTGAGGTCTAGCACTATTCTGACAACAAACATCACCTTTCCTGTTCGACAATCTTGGGCGTTTTTCTTGAATTGCTGCCATTAATTGGTCCAGTTGCGACCAGTACTTTTCAGAATCTGGTTACTTGGCAGAATTTCATGGTACATGATTCCTTTCCATTCCCACCAGATGCACAGATGACTTTGTTAGGATGAAGACATCCTTTTAAGGTGGCTAAAGTTGTTTCATATCGCTTACTCCAGTATCATTTTCGCTGAACATTGTTATAAACGATCCATTTCTCATCACTCGTCACAGTTCGCTTCAAAAGGGGGATTAATTGCATTTATATATCAAATCACAGAGGAAATGCGGTCCAAACCATTCTTTCCACTCAGATCATGTGGTAGCCAAATATAATAGCGTTTTAAGTACCCAAGCTTCACTACATGCCCATGGATGGTGGATTTTGATAGATTTTGTGTTTCTACTAATTCCCGCGTAATGCGGGTTATTCTCAATCAATGCCTTGATTTGGCTGTCATCTGCAGTGGGAGGTTTGTCTGAGCGTTTTTCATCAATAAGATTCCAATCACTAATTCTAAACTCAGCAAACCACTTCCTTACAATCCTGTCATTTAAAGCACCTTCACACTACACAGCACTTACTTATCTTTTTTGTTGCTTGCCAGGCATTTTTGCCTTTACGGTAAAAAAAAAAATCATCAAGAGACTAAAATGCTACCTATAATTTTCCATTTTCATAAGGATGCAAAATTTACACGAAGTAGGTAATTTAAAATTTTCTTTCTCAAGTGATAATTTGAAGTTTGCTCTAATCGGAAATGTAAGCATATTATATCTGTAGATAAATTTGACGTTTTCTAACATGTTGGAACACGAAAGACTAAAAATCGGTGTGGTCTATCCGGACAATCTAATGTATATTAGTAATGCCACTTTTATGCATAAATTTACATAATTTAACGTATATTAAGGTGAACAGAATATCAGCCAATAAACTCTTCAACATATGCGTGTATGTGTATGTGTATGTTTGTGTATGTTTGTGTATGTTTGTGTATATATATGTTTATGTAGATGTGTTTGTGTGTATGTATGTGTTGTGAGACCGTAACATACCTACAACGTGGACTCTTCCAGGACTATATAAAGTATGCGATATAACACTCTAGGAGAAGAGGAGGAAAAGAAAGAGAGAGAGAGAGAGAGAGAGAGAGTATATTCTAATGCCGTAGTATCAGCCGCGTACGACTACCAATATTGGACACTAGCACATAGTAAGCTCCGCTTACACTTACACTATCTTTGTAACCTTTTTGTTTAATATATCTTTCTGATCTCTAATCCGTGTTCCGTGTTTTCCTTCCGTGGTGTCAACTTTGGGTCCACATCAGTATGTGTGTGTGTGTACGTGTGGTCGTTTATGTCAATGTACATCTGAATGCGTTTGCGAATCGCATTCCACAAAGGAAATAGATATGTCCGCTGACAATTAACTGATCGCCGAGATTTACAGTGGACCTCGGAAAGTTAATTCGGTATGTTGGTTTGCCGAAGTGTTAACTTATTCCTTTCTTAATCAAATTCCATGCCCTGCCCACGTGCAGATATCAGGCAAGTGTTATTAGAATGAACCCCTTATTTTCTAAATGGTCTTAATTTGTGGAATCCGCCTAACGCGCCCACAATTTGATACCTATTTCAAGTTTTCATACTATTCTCTACATGTTGAAAACTTTTCAAATATGTGTCCATTTTAATTTGCTTTTGTGATTTCCATAATAATAAAGATTACCAAATATAACTCGGCCCTCTCAACATTATGTGTATAACAATGTTGAACTTCTATTGCGTTAATTATGGGAGAGTGAATGACCATAATATCTCCATCAGTGGGAATATAAACCGTTTCATCTAGAATTTGAATTTCTCGCGCCGGTTCAGTTTTCCGTGCTAGATAACGACATTATATTTTGGACATTGAAAACCTAAATCTTATCGGCCAGCTCAGGACAACAAACAGTAGCATTCCGTGAGAATTTGACTTACTATAATAATGAACTCTATTGTGTTATTTGCTTGACAACTATCGCACGATAGCAGAGATCATCATTTTAATGTAACTAAGTTAAGCTTGCATACAGCTCCGACAGTTGAACCCTCATTGGGGTTCGAAATCCCGAATGAATGTAGCCGATTGTTACTGAGTGGATATTAATAAATATTACTCTGCAGAAAGCAGTCACGTAGTTAACATATTTGTGCCATTTTTCGAAATTAAATCTTTAAAAGTAAACTTGTTAATTAGTACCGAGAAACCTAATATATTCGTTCTTTTGTTGTTCGATGACATTAAAAGAGTTTAGCTTTAAACATTCCATTAAAACGTAATCGGTTTTTATAGCACTGTGAAAATTATCATATTAATATGTATTTATAAATAATGAAATCAACATTGGATTACCTTGTTTATTAATTCGAACTTCGAAGATTAATGAAAATAAATAACTATTTAATAACTTTAGAAAGGTAAAATATGAAAAGTCACAGAATAGTTTTGGATTTTATTGAAACAGTAAGTAGTGTTTTAACAGAAAACGGAAAGTGCAACGCTGAGATCCGAAGACGTATTGGGTTGGCCAAAGATGCATTCCAAAAGCTAAGCAGAGTATTAAGAGACAGGAAAACTTCGATAGCAACAATGAAATGAGTACTGAACTGTTACTTGATATCTATCCACCAATGTTCTCAAAAATGATGAAGATACTTGAAGCAACAACAATTTGGTTCTATAGATGAATGTAGAGAATACCTTGGACAGAATATGTAGGCAACAACGAAGTTTTAGAGAAAATTGAAACAGAAAGGAAACTTATATTTAATATCAGGAATAGGCAGTTGAAATTTCTTGGACACATATTAAGTATAGAGCGCCTGAAAAATCTGATACGAACAGGACAGATTTAAGGCAAGAGGGACAGAGTAAAACAACGCATAATACCTACTGAGGTTATGTAAATATATGACGGAAGAGGCCTTAAGAGAAATAACAAAAATAAAAAATTTATTACGAGATATGAAGGACAGAAAATTATAGATTGCCATAGTCGCCTACATCTTGAGGGGATTCGGCACATAGAAATTGAGAAGAGGAATATATATTTGTCAGTCAGAGGAACAGCCCAGCATGCAGGCTACAAATTGGCGAAGGCAAAATCTACCAAATACAGAAATTTAACTGCGTAGAATTTTAATAGACTGTAACAATGAGTCTAAAAAATGGTATGTGATATGGTCGATTTTAATAAACGCAAAGAGACGAAAAGAGAGAAAAAGAGAGAGAGAGAGAGAGAGAAAGAGAGAGAGAGAGAGAAGAAAGAAAGAAAAGACAGAGAGAAAGAGAAAGAGAGAGAGAGAAAGAGACAGAAAGAGAGAAAGAGAGAGGAGGGGAGAGAGAGAGAGAGAGAGGGAGTGAGAGAGAAATAAAGAGAGACAAAGAGAGAGAAAAAAAGAGAGAGAAAGAGAGAGAGAAAGAGAGAGAGAGAGAAAGAAAGAAAAAGACAGAGAGAAAGAGAAAGAGAGAGAGAGAAAGAGACAGAAAGAGAGAAAGAGAGAGAGAGAGAGAAAGAAAGAGAGAGAGAGAAAGAGAAAGAGAAAGACGACTAATTGTGGTTCTAGCGGCAGGTTATGAAGCTGCTCTCTACACGGGTGACATCTTAATTCCAGCGGCATCCGGCTGACACACGGTTCAGTTTATATGTTTCGCTTACAATCTTCTTAACCTCAGTATAGCTGCCTCCACGAAACTCGTCAGCAAACACTAATGCCCCCACAATTCATGCCAAAACTCTTCCTTTTATATTTCGTCTTTTGTGTGGTGGAACATTTCCGGTTCCGTCTAGAGACGCTTCTAGAATGACGGAGAAAAGACCAGATTTCTCCCGAGCCTTCTCGAATGGGTAATCCTTCGTCATTTATTTATTTAGCGGATCAGATTCCCGGCCAAATTATAATTAGCATTGGTCGATCACATACACCCGTAAAAGCTTGGCGTGTCACGTGTTGACCTTTCTCACTGAACGGTCGATTTAAAAAAAAACTTTTCATGGTATAACGTCTGTTGTTTGGCGATGGATGACCAGTTAGCCCACATCGTAGTAACTTTTTGTGTTCCTAAGAATTCCTTTTTTTCTTAAATTAAGTTTTATTTTTATTTTTAAAATAACCTAATGTAAATTGGCACTGAAATTTTTCAAATTCCACCCATTGCATAAAAAGACAACGGAAGAGGTAATACAGAATTCTAAAAGCATATTGGAATAGCGAAATATGATTTCCAAAAGCTAAACAAAGTAATAAGAAACAGGAAAAATTCCTTCGAGAGTAACAAACGAATGCTAATTTTTATGTTTTAATACCCCTATTAGACAGTAAATATTTGACAATTACATACAGTAAACTACACCCGGAACAAGAGTTCTGATCATGAGGTTTTGAGGAATCTGGAACCACCTCTTAATTGCAGTTGCTCCCAGGTCTAAATGTTGGTTACATGCTCCTCAAAGTCAGAGATTTTACTGTTGGGTGTATTTTGTTGTCATACCCATGACGAAGCATGTACGATATGTAATATATACGAATGTAATATCTGCTATTGAACAGAGGTAGTAGAAAATTAACGTTCTATTTTATGTAATTAGCACTTTTCAATTCGACTCATTAGAGCGTGCAAGAAAGAATCGTTTATTAAAACGAGTGGAGAAAATTAATTTTCCAGAAGGCTCTGTTAGAATACAGAAAATTTTTAAGAAAAGCTTCCGGCTGAACATGCTTGTCTCTCAGTCGGACATTTCAAATTAACTTTACCAAATATTTGACGTGCCCCTAAGCCTCATGTCACTTGCTGCAATAAAATTGAAATTACTTAAGTGAAATATGAATGCCAGTCTGGAAGATGATCAAAATGCTTTTTGAGAAGCAAACTTGTCTTTCTGGTCGTAGCCCCAAAATTCGTGTTCGACAATTAGCACTCTTCATTTAATGTTACATTCAAGATTCTAGAAAAAATAATTTTAATTTGAATGGGGATGATCCAAAATTCAATGCATATATCATAGCAAAATTTCACCGTATAAAATGTTAATTTTGGGAAATGTTTTTATAGGAGTCAGATTAGTTCAAACATGCTGTATTGCGGTATATATGTTTAGTTGGGCTGAGGAAAGATCAATCCATACTTTTCAGATTGATGGTGTTCAATATGTGTTGTAACCTAGAAAGCGTTACTGAATGAGGAGTAACCAAAACGTAGGTTGGAAATGAACTGGAACTGTTAATCCCTACTTTTCGTTCAACAAAATACAATACTCGCCAGCGCTGTGAAGTAGGTAAACAACTGCTAGTGGTGGTCTACTTAGACAGCATATTACTCCCACTTACAATAGTGTCCAATGTATTTGTGAAAATGGGGACAAACCCATTAATGTTCATAGGTAAGGGATATAACAAATTGTTTAAGCGATTTTTTTTTTTGTTGTTTTTATTTTTATTTTTATTTTTTGGTGGGGGTCATATTTTCCACACTACAGTCTCAGAGAAGCACCAAAGACGCTATATTGCAAGCCTGTTGCGATTTTATCGCTATTTTCATGTCAAATGTTCTTTTATTCTATCAGTTTAGATTTTTACAGCTAGGAAATGTCAAGCTTCTTCCACAGAATTAAATCACATGCATTGTGTTTCAAATGTAAGAAATAAGTTACAACCTGAAAGTTTTTTCCCCAAGTGGCCTGCAATAGATTTTCACTTAAATCTTGTCTTCGTTATCTTCATAATCCGCACTTCCTACCACATTCATATCCACTTATATCACACACCTCATATATCAAGCCCATTTCGACTGTACCCCAATCATCTACCTCGTTTACTTCTCGAGATTTGTTTTGAGTAATATATATATATATATATATATATATATATATATATATATATATATATATATATATATGAACTCTAATCACAACTTATCGGGACAGTTGACATGGTAATGGAGCTAAAGTATGTAGAGTGAAGACGTTTCGTACAGACTGATCTGTAACTTTGTTGCTCATACACACTATATTATAATATTCTCGTTCATTTTCGTTGTTTATAGCAGTTAGTGGAATGAAAGTGTGTAGAGTGTTGTCGCCTCACCACACCACAGAATTTCCATCAAAGACCGTTGCTTATGCAGCAGTTTTGGGACATGTCCAAAGACAACAATATTACCGAGATCTCGCCACTTGCGGCATTATACTCTTCCAAGATCAAATCCCTCTAGAAAAGAACAAGGTTTTAAGATACCTTTAAAATCAAAGAGAATTCGACTAGGCAGATATGCCAAGAAAGGAGTTTCACGAATGCTTCCATCAATGGAAAACATATTGGATAAAGTATGTGGTTTCAGAAAGGAACTAATAAGAAGAGGATTAAATGCCAAATTAATATGTGTTGTAATTTTCTTTTATAAGGACAATCGCCATCTAACTGAAGTATGTTTATATTTAAATTACACAGTTCCAAACTGCAATGTTCCTAATGAGAGAGGAAAGGTACGCTTGATTTTCCGCCGAATCTAAGACAAATGCATCTGAATAATTGGTTATACATTATATTAGAAAATAATAAAGAGTCAACAATTGCAATGACTTATTCAGATGTTTTATCTTCTTTTTTAATCATTTTGCACCTAGCCAGGAAAAAATGCTACTTAGACGCAAGAGGTCAGGGAGTGTGAAAGAAAATGAGAAGACATTAGGGGTATGATGCAGCAAGACAGAATATGGCGACTGACGTTGCATTTTAATTTCTAATGATAGCAGGTGATAGGAAAGCAAGAAACCTCAAGAGAGTATCTCAGGCGAGAAACGCAAGACAAGTAACTATTAGAATAGAACTTACGATTGCATCAAGCTATTTCAACAGTAAAATAATGAGACCCAATTGCCAATCAAGTAGTACTCACAAATTCCTGCGGTCGAGGTAACAAAGGAGGAAAGTTCGTGAGAACAATTGCCATGAAAATAAAAAAAGGATATAGAGAATCTTCATCACGGCGGTGGTTAAATGACTGAAGTGGAAATGCCAGGTCAGGACCGATAACATTACAGACAAGTCTTTGGATTTTGTCGTGAATCTCCAGACGTATAGCAAAATCTCGAGACGATATATGGCAGGAATAGTCAATAGGCAGGGGCGAATGGTAGATTTATAAACGTAAACGTGCGAAATGGAATCTAACTAGGAGAATTACACAGCAGAAGAACTAGTAATTGATTCAATATAATCATGCTACTTCATATTAGTGGAAAGAAAACTTGAGGCTAAAATAAGTTGCTCTCCTGGAGGTCAGCATCGGCCATGCTGACGGAAGACAAAACAATTCTTTATGGTGACTGAAAGATAGTAGTTTCTTTTTGGAGGCCTTGAAATTTACAAGCCATTTATTGCTCCAGTTAACAAAGAGAAACAAAACTTTTGTATCACAGTTCGGAAAGAAAATACGATTGACTTTATAATAATAATAATAATAATAATAATAATAATAATAATAACCCTAGTGTCTTTTTAAACCTAAAAACCTGGTAGATTAATGCAGCATTAAATATTGAAAGCAGTAAGGCTCAAGACATTGTATTGGCCCTGTTGATTTTTGGAAAACCTATATTTTTTTAATTTTGTGGCATAATTTTCACTAGAAAAGTATCATATTAATTTCATTCAATACGACGCCATTTTTTTTAACTCATGCTTGGCTCATTGTAGCATTAATATTACCTACTTGATTGTTAAATAGACCCTATGTGTATAAACAATAAATATTAAAATTATCATAAAGGCATATTTACATGAAAGTGTACATATGCATAGATACTACTATGTCTATTTCAATATCTATCTCCATCATCAGAAAATTGTGCTATAGTTAAAAATTCTTAAAATAACTATAGAAGTTAATGAAAATTTATTATATGGACCATGTTGATTAATTAAATATCTATTAATCTGGAAGTTATTACTGTCTTTTATAAACATTCAATCTCATACCCACCACACCACAGTTTTTTTATTTTTTTTTTTTCGACTTATTTTTTATCACTTCAAAGGTTATTTTTCATGGTCACACGTATTCGAGTAGAACGTCCCGATTTTGAAAGACGGTTTATTTCGTCTACCAGTGTCCGCATTCAAAAAAACTTAAAAAAGAAAACGTGTCCAAGATTTGAATCTGCGTACCCCTGCATTAGAGGTACCACGTCTAATCTGGCGTATTCTAGACTACTCGGTCTCAGAGAGCCTCACAGCCAAGCAAGATTCTATTTTCCTTACAGTAACATCATCTCTTCAATACACTAGTTCCGCTTCATTTGATACTACCACTTGTTAGAGTGGGTAATTAATAGATAGGCTGGGTGGTTAATGCAAACGATCACGCAGTCACCCATGCAAGCAGCAACTAGCGTTGCATGACAATGAGAGGACATTTTGGTAAGATATCTCGCAATGCATCATTGAGCCGAGTTATGGCGACACTTATACTTTCCAGAAAAATATAGAACGGAATCGAATTGGCTTTTTCTAAACCGACATAGTAACATTAGTCAAACTCTTTTAAATATAAGTCGAGTAATAT